CAGGGCCTTTCTTTGGGTTCTCTGAGATGTGCTATGCTGTTTCTTTGTATTATGAAAGGACTTGTCTTGAGTGGTCATTAAGGACACATAGTTAGATATGGAGAACCAGCTAGCTGGAGGAGGTCGGCAGGCCTTGTTTTGGGTGGGAGAGGGTAATACCTGAATCATTTTGCTCTTGGAGCAGGATTCATGAGCTCACAGCAGTTAGGCTGCAGCCTTCCCCTGGCTCCCTTAAAGCAATAGTCATATCTGTTCATTTTCTCCCAAAGAAATCTCTGATAATACATTTTTCTTTTTCTCCTTATGGCATGTTTATTTACAGGAATTGGTATGAATGGCCTTTTAACTCACTTTTTCTTTGTAGAACCACCACCACCTAAAATCCCGAAAATAGAGACCACTCACCCACCGTTGCCTCCGGCCCACCCACCGCCAGGTGAGTGCCTGCCGAGGCTGCTTAGCTGGCATCCTTGCAGCTCCTATGGGACAGCGGAACAGTGTGGGGGTGCTGGGGAAGCCTGTAGAAGGGCAGCTTGCAGAGACAGCCACGAGCAAGGAGCTTTCAAAAACCATTTGCATCACGAACCAGATATTCTGCAGTTATAGACCTCAGTATATCTGCTACCGTCTGATCTCATATCCAGAAATGCTGAACTACACAGATAAATGGATTTTAGGAAAATAAAATCCTGCTAACAGTGAACATTGATTCAGAGCCAGGCAGGACTACTATGGGTGTGAGACTCCAGCCTCTCATATCTGCTTCCTTGGCAAGATGTCGTCCTAGTGCAATTAGAAGAGTAAGCCGTAGGCAGAATCACATGGAGAGGAAATGGAAGGGCTTCAGGTTCTCAGAGGCACACTGAGCTGGAAGGCTTCTCAGCACTAGAAATAGCTTTCTTTACCTGTACACCATCTCAGAAGCTGAAACATTGAACCAGAGCAGGCAGGGCTGGCGTGTTTTCTGAAGGGTGTAGATAGTCTGGAGTCCTCCCTGGCCTCTTGTAAGTCTGCTGTGCTAACTGGAGTTGTTGGTCAGAGCATATGAAGATGCTACTCAAGTTGATGCATGCCTGCACAGACGTGCAGTTCATTAGCTGGCTTTCTGTCATATCCACTCATGGTAACTTTATATGCTTTGAGGAAAAGGAAGCATCATTTTATACTTGGAGCCAAATCCCACAATCTCCAATTTAATACGAACCTTGCTTTAAAAGACACCTGCAAAGGACTGCACTTTCAAGGCCAGGCTTATCAACTTAACAAGACCCTGTCTCAGAATTTAAAAATAAAAAGAGCTAGGGACTTAGCTCAGGGTAGAGTGTCCTGGGTTCCATCCCCAGTACAGGGCAGGTGGGGAGAGATGCTGCAGTTGCTCATTTAGTGCTTGTAGAGTAGTTGTCGACTCAGCAATTGTAGTTCCCCAATCCAGTGATAGGGGCTGAGCCACCGCCAGGCAGGGATGTGGGATGCGGCACAGTTGGGAAACGGGGCAGTTGGTGAGGTGCCCCTGCCTGTGTTCAAGGCCCTGCAGGGGCACTGCCCAGCACAGGCAGCTCTACCATGGACGACTGCAAGTGGACAGGCCTAGCTCTCAGACAGGACCTGGGAGCCAGATGGGCCACTAGGAGGACTGTGGTAGGAGTAAGAACCTGGCAGCCACAGCAGGACCTCCCAAAGGGGAAAGTGGCTACAGAGGAAGCCCAGGTCACAGGGGCTCCTTAGGCAAGGCCCATTCATAGCTGTCTGGTGCGGAAGGTCAGGAGGCAGAGTCGGGGCACTAGGGGATGAAGAAGCAGAGTCACAGCTCCTGTGCAGCACAGGACCATGACGAGAGAGAGGTTGAGCTCAAAGTGAGGTTTAGTGGCAATTTGGGGCCTTGTGTAGCAGCCAGGTGCCAGCAGGGAGGGTGCAGAAAGGGAGCAGTGCCATGGACAGGCCTCTGTAGAGCAGTGTCACAAAAGGCAAGTTTGGGGCTGCTGAGCTGAGTGTCGCAGGGCTGGAAGGTAAAGGGGATGTATGTGGACCCAGAAGGCCCATGGAGTGACACAGGAGGAATTGGTAATTGGTCTGCTCAGCTTCTGAGACCAAGGGTCAAGGGCCCTTCACCTGGGGGCCTGTCCTACCTCCCTTGGTGAGGAGTGCCGATTAGCACAGGCAGCTCCATTAGCGTGTCTGTTACCAGCCTGCAGTTCTGCTCAGCTTCATTTTGGTGAGGATAGGGAATGGCAGATGCCACAGTTTCTGTGTTGATGGAGAGCAGTAGTCTGGTGCCTGGGCAGGTCTCTTCTGTGCTTAGTGTCCAAGTCTACACAATCAGGATGCCATGATGTGCTTTGCCCAGCCCAGGAGAGCACAGGCCACTGAATAGGGAGCTGGAAACTGCCTGCACAGTTCACATTTTCTATACCCAGAAGCTTTTTTCTGTGACTCCTGCTCTTTTCGGGCTACCTCAGGGAGGGACATACATTCTAAGTCTTGGGCTACCTGTGGTATGGGATATTCTGATGTCATTTTCCAAGGGTCTGACCGGGACTTGGGATTCCCAGGCCAAACCTACTAGAGGAGGCTTTGGGAAAGGAGTGAGGGCCAAGGGATTTGGAACACTGCAGGGGAGGCCCATGGCCTGGTCTGAGCCCAGGAACTTTTCAGGAATGCTTGACAATAGGTGCTGCCTGCCACTCGCATGTGGACACACTGATCCTTCAAGGAACAGCGTAAGCCCGGCCTGGCTTCTTTAGTAACAGAACCAGAACCAGCACCTCATTCATTTGACCAGCTCACAGACTCTTGGCAAAACGCAGGTGCTGCAGGAGCGGAGCCCACACTGGTTTGTGCTAGAGGCTCTGAGCGGAGCCCCTGTAGCTGTACACCCAGCACTGAGGAGAGGCCCGGGGTCATTGGGGGATGGTTATGGGGGGCCTAGGAGACAGGTCAGGGCAAGAACTGCTGGCCTTAGGACATTGGTCTGCACATAAGACTACAAATGCGTCAGTTGCTCCCGGCACCTTTGTAAAGGTGGCCCTCAGCAACAGCAGTGGCCCTCACAGCCTGCAGTGGGCTGAGAGCTCCTGGCTCAGGGCTCTCACTCAAGGAGTCATGCCTGTGGTTTTGTACCTGGCGGCTCTGGAAACCTAGTCAAGTCACAGGTGGGGCACTGACTTGTCTCTCTTCTGCAGACCGGAAGCCTCCCCTCGCTGCTGCTCTAGGCGAGGCCGAGCCGCCTGGCCCGGTGGATGCCAGTGACCTCCCCAAAGTCCAGATTCCTCCTCCGGCCCACCCGGCCCCTGTGCACCAGCCACCACCTCTACCACACCGGCCCCCGCCCCCGCCCCCCTCCAGCTACATGACGGGGATGTCCACCACCAGCTCCTACATGTCTGGAGAGGGTTACCAGAGCCTGCAGTCCATGATGAAGACCGAAGGCCCCTCCTATGGCGCCCTGCCCCCAGCCTATGGCCCGCCAACTCACCTTCCCTACCACCCCCATGTCTATCCCCCCAACCCACCCCCACCACCTGTGCCTCCTCCCCCAGCCTCCTTCCCCCCACCTGCCATTCCACCCCCTACTCCTGGTTACCCACCACCTCCACCTACCTACAACCCCAACTTTCCACCCCCACCCCCTCGCCTGCCCCCCACCCATGCAGTCCCACCTCACCCTCCTCCAGGCTTGGGCCTGCCGCCGGCTAGCTACCCGCCTCCTGCAGTGCCCCCTGGAGGACAGCCACCTGTGCCCCCGCCCATCCCCCCACCTGGCATGCCTCCTGTTGGGGGACTGGGGAGGGCGGCCTGGATGAGATAACCTGATGCCTTTTTCTTTCCCTTGGTTTTTTTTTTTTTTTAACAAAAGAGTTTTTCTAATTAACTTGAAGAGTAGTTTAAGTGTAAGCAGCGGGGACCTTGTATAATGCCAGACAGTTGCAGTAAGGAAGGGAGGGGCCAGATCCCTGGGATGAAATTGGGGTGGTCCTCACACCTGGAGGACGGGGACAGCCAGCTTCAGTGTGGCCTAGGCAGCGCCTCTTGCAGTCTGACTGTACAGTTTCAGCTAATGTCGTCTGAGAGTCCTGCACTGGGTTACTTTATACTAGTGAAAATGTTAACCAGCCATATTGGCTCAATAAATAGCTTCAGTAAGGAGTGATTTTTCCTTCTAGAAATCAGTGCCTATTTTTCCTGGGAACTCAGTTTTAAATAGTCCAGTTCCATCTGAGGTCAAGCTGTTGTCATTATTGTCATTCAGTGGTGTTCTCCCCATGAGACCCAATAGGTCAGATGAACCACTTTTTTGATTTAGAGGTATTTGCAGCCTTTGTATTAAACTATTGTGAAGGGGTGGCCTTGTTGGATGGCTTATTTCTTTTTCCTCCTGGGAGAAGGGGAGAAATGTACTTGGAAAGTAATGTATGTTTACATCTATTTGCAAATTCCTGTACATAGAGATATATTTTTTAAGTGTGAATGTAACAACATACTGTGAATGCCATCCTGGTTACAAACAAGACTCCTTCGGTCAGTTAGCCAAATAAAATCAGTTCTGGAACTTGCCCCTTGTTTGTTTAACAGGGCAGGAGGTGGGGTTGGGGGTTGTGGAGTCTACCACAGAAGCCCCTCTCTCCTTTTGTACTGCAGGCAGCTGGAGGAGGGATGAGGGACACTGATGGAAAGCCTGACCCCACCATCTCCCTGATGTCCCTGGGGGCACTAAGGTGTGGCTCTGCATGTGATTTTAACCACCCTGGTTAAGTTCCAGACCAGTTTTGAGCTTTACAGCATCCATGCACAGAACGTGGGCTCCTGAGACCAGGCTTGGATGGGAAATCCTTTCCACTCCTGACCTGTAGGTAGCAATTAGTGGCCTCCACCATCCACTTGAGGGGCCAAATGTATGGGGCAAGGGTAGAGTGCCAGTTGATCCCCATCTGAATTGCTTGCTGGGCCATGGCTCCAGGCCACCCCTCAGTCCTCAACAGAGATGAGCAGGGAGCACCAACCAGAAGGCTTGCAAAGAGGCCTTTATTTATCTAGCTCAAAGTATACACGGTCACAATCTTATTTGTTACTCCTTTTACTAAAATAGTTCAAATCAATGTTTTTACCACACTATCAAAAAGTTCTATTCTCTCCACAAATCAAAGTGGTTCAATAGAAGGTAGAAACAGGCGGGAATCCACAGGCTCGGCTCTGTGGGGGTGGCTGCAGGTCCACCTTGGTCACCTTCTACAGAAAATAGCATAGCTGCCGGCCCAGGACAGGAACCAGACGTCCCAGCCTGTTTCCAAAAAGCAGCATGAGTACTTTCCCCACAGTATGAAAAATAGACACCTCCAGCACTCTGCAGCCATGCGTTCAGTTTGTTTCTTTAAAAAAAAAAAAAAAAAATCAGTAGTATGTTTTTTTTTTTTCCCTCTCAAGTTTCAAGAAAAAACAAATGAAAGGTCACTTTTTCCTCTTTAAACACTGGTGTGTAGCTAATAACTTTTGGATAAAAATGTGCCACCCTAAAAAAATGTGCTCAGCAGATTCTGACTCCAGCATAGGTGAGGCCACCTGGGCTGGGGCCAGAAGGGTGACCTGTCACAGTGGAACTGAAGCCAGTGTGAGTCTCCTTGGGCTTCAGGATTGAGAATTAGCATGTGAAACGGAAAGGAGCCTCTATGAAAGGCCCTTGGCCCCTGCCTAGGAGTTTCAGAGCTAAGGCTCCAGAAGGGAGGGCCACCCGGTGTCACCCTGAGCTATGGCCCACAGGCTCCCCACTGTGAGAGGCCCAGTGGGGCCCACCCCAGCTCACTCATGGCTCTGCCACTGCCAAGAGCACCTGGGCTCCTGCTGCTGCTGGCTTTTACTAACTGTTGTGTTGAAGACATGACTGTCACAGTCCCGTCCCAGAAAGCTGTCCACTTCTGTGTGGACTCAGGGGCCTCTGGCAGGCAGGAGGTGCTCTGCAGACCCCTGGTGCCTCCACAGCACCAGGGATGGGGGTCACTTCCCTCAGGAGACAGGTGGCTTCCAGGCTGTTCCCTGGGTAGATCTGCAGATACAGGAGCCCTTATTGCTTATTTCAGTGGTGGCCAAGCCACCCTGATCCAAACACGACACGTGGGCTCCCTGACTGGGCTCCTACACAGCATGGACCCACACCCCTCAGGACACCCCAAAGGGACATATGTGTCACCAGCCCAGCTTCCCACTTAGGCAGGCGTGACGCAGTACCATGACCAGTAGATGGGGGCAGACCCCTAACAACAAGGAGCTCATCACCTGCCCAGGCAGCAGGTCCTGGGAAGAGCTTTCTGGTAACACCCACAGCAAGAGCAGCAGGCCAGCCCTGAAGCACCTAGCTGGCACTCCCAGGGCACGCCAAGGGCTGCGGGCCTTTCCCCTGAGTGCAGGACACAAGGGCGCAGATGGCAAACGCCGAGGGGACCACTCCCTGTAGAGGGTCCCCAGCTGGGGAAAGCAGCAGGGAAGCCATCTGCCCTCCCCTGCCCTGGTCCCCATCCTTGGCTCGGCCTGAATGAGACCTGCCTGATAGGAAGACACTCCTTGGGCCCTTCAAGTACCTGCTGCACGGAGCTCAAGTACCATCGGAAGAGGGGAGACATGGCTGACAGCGGGAAGTGAACAGAGGTGAGTCGGGATTGGGGCTGGCCAGTTACGTGCATGTGTGGATGTCGTCAAAATGGCCTGCCCTCTTAGAGATTTTAGGATCTCCCCTGTAGCCAGGGCACTATGTGTAGTAGTACAATATCACCTCCCCTCCTGGGCCTCATTTTCCTCTCACAAACTAAAAAATATTTCCTATCACACTTCATGGTTTATATGGGATCATTTACATTGAAGGTCTCTTGCTGTAAGGAGGGTGGCGTCCATTTTGTCGCTTAGAACACTGAGGCTTGGAGAGAGGAGGTGACCTGCCATGAGACAGCAAGGCAGCAACATGAGCTTGGCCTTGGCTTGTGAGCTGTGAGGACTGAGACCATCTACAGCAGGGGCCCAGAGAAGCTGTGTGACTTCATGAAGGTCACACAGTAAATTAAAGCCTGAACCAAGTCAGGGTCCTTCCTTCCAAAAGAGAACAGAATGCTCATCATGGGAAGCCCCTGTAGCTGTGTCCACAAGTGACCTAGGTATAGCCAGCCCTGGAGGCAGCCACCCCACAGCTGACCAGGGACTCCGCATGACCTGGTTCTACCCATCCCCAGATGCAGCTCAGCCCAGAAGCCCTCCAGGACCTTCCCTGTTCCTGTGAGCCCCAGGTAGGATGCTGGACAGCAGGGACCCCAAAAGATGGGGCTAACCCTGGCACGGGGTACAGAGACCACAGAGAATGTATGTTTGGGGGTGTCAGGGAAGGGGAACACTAAGAACAAGCAGCAACTGGCATCAAGGTGGCTGGCACCAACCCCCAATAGCAGGGACTCCAAGCTCCCAGGGCCAAAGTCAGAGGAAGGGCCTGGGAGCCCCAAGCAGCTCCAGCAGCCAGACATGGTGAGTTTCCTTGTCCATGACACAGAGGACCCAGTGCTGGGTGAGCTGGGGTCCCGGCCATGGCAGGGCAGGAAATGGTGCCACTGTGTCAGGATTCAGGTGATGGCAGCCTCTGTCCAGTACAGGGGCACCAGGAGGATGGAAAGCTTGATGAGTGGCCCCCACATCGAGGGCAGGACACGGAAGCCTGGACAGTCCCTGAGCCTGGCATCCCTTCAGCCTCTTGCAAATGGAGCCTGTGGCCAGAGAGGGAGCCAAGTCACTCGGGCCGCCAGGGAGCAGTCGCGGCTTCGCGTCTTCGCAGTTTGCTGGTGCGTGAGGCGGGAGCGGAGGCCTGGCCGTCAGAGTGCCACGGCACGCAGCCAGGGTGGTCCGTGTCCTATGTACAACTCACCAGAGAAAGACAGTGGCTTGCGGGAGTCCTGCCCTCGTCTAGGGCCTGGAAGCCCTGGGAGGGGCCAGTCCACATCCGTGAAGAATGGCCCTACAAAGGACCCTTGAACTGGTTTCCAGACAGGTGCTGCCGGATAGAGGGCTTGGAGCTGGCAGCGTCTCCCAGCTTCCTCCAGACCACCTGTGGAGAGGGGCAAGACGTGGGTGGAGGGCCCGCCTGAGCCCACCATTGGCCTGCACATGCCTCCTGCCTTATCCCTGCAAATCGCCCATGTCCTCAGAGCCCTGGGACCAGGAAGGGAGACTGAGGCCGCAGGAGGCCTGGAGGTGCTGAGGCCTGGTCCTGCCCCACCCCAGTCATGGCTGCCCCGGAGCAGGTTTGGCCTCGTGGCTGTTCTGTAGGGCCCGTGGACCTAGGACATCCCTTCCCTGCAGCTCTTGCAAAGGTCCAACAAGTCAACTGGTGGTCAGAGGGGCCAAGGACGAGGCTCTCCCAGGCAGACAGGGCAGCCCAGGCCTGCAGGTCTGCACCTTCAGCTTTGAGAACTAAGTGCAAGGCCAGCCGCCGCTAGGGGGCACAGGTGAGCTGGGAGGCCAGGGTCAGACACCCAGGGCCCAAGGGCTCCAGGGCTGGATGAACCAGAGCAGTGCTGGGATGGGGAACTCCGAGCCCCAAGCATGGCACTCCTGGGGAGGGAGAGACCTAGCCATGGTCAGGGGCCTTCTGGCAGGGGGAGTAGAGTGGGTGACAACAGGCCAGGGAGTCCAGAGCCTCCAACATTCTGGAGCTGCCCAGGGCAGCAGCTGAGTGTGTGTACAACAGCCCTACACAGGGAGGGGTGTGACCTGCCAGGTGAACCTCATTGTGCCCCCGCGCCAGACCCCCCACCGCAGCCCGGGGAGCGCCCTACGTTGCACATCTCCCGGACGATGGCTTTCTCCTCCTCGCTCAGGTCCTCCTCGCAGCTGTGCTGGAGCTGCCGGTCCAGGTTCTCATGCACCTCCAGGACCTGAAGGATGAAGGAGATCAGTCCCAGAGTGTGGGGCAGAGGCCAGCAGTAGGCCTCCAGCAAGTCACCTGACCCCCGCAGCCTTGGCTTCCCTGGCTACACGGAGAAGCTGAGGTCCCGAGCTGCTGGGGGGCAGGGTGTGGATGTCTCTTCACCCTGCGACACCACGGTCTCCATACAAGGGAAGCAGCATCCCTGACTCAGGGACGGGTCACCCAGGACAAGGGTGGCCAGGTGGCAGGGACAAACTTCAGACAGGTGGACTCACTCGTGTAACAGCACAGGGACCTGGGGCAGCCCACACCCCACACGAGGCTCCTGGCACACGCACAGGGGAAGGAAGGAGGGGCGTGGGGCAGGCGATGTGCTCAGGTGTGGGTGCCTTGGAGACATGAGGAAGACCTGCCCCCGCACCTGGAGGCCGAGGTTCACCCAAGAAACCTGGGCTTCAGTCCTAACCCACTCCTGCCCCAGATCTCTGGCCTTAGAGCAATGCCTGTCCTCCCCCACCAGGCCTCTGTTTCCCCAGCTGCAGTAGCTCAGGGAGGGCTGACAGGTGACACTAGTCCCCACTCCCCACCTCTGAGTCCTTCACTGGACAGCCATGGCCCCAGCCACCAGCTGAGAGGCGAAATCCCCTACCCTGCTGCTCAGATGCCCTGCGCACAGACAGCACAGGTGGCCTCCAAGGCCCCAGGGTACACTGGGCATCTCGGGCTTGGGCAGTGGGGCCCTTACCTTCATGGCGTGCACCACTGCCTCGGGCTTCTGTCCCGCAGAGCTGTAGCCAGCGGAGGGGGGCGAGGGCAGCTCGGGCACAGGGCAGGCAGGGCCCTGTGGGAGGAATCACACCTTAGCTCCTGGCTGGCTCAAGTCAGAGGTCCCAACTGTGTGGGGCCAGAGCCAGGCAGGCACAGATGGGACTGGGGAGGTGGGCAGCAGAGAGGGCGAAGCCTGGAGAGGGCAGCCCCTCTCGTCCCGCCATGCCATGTCCTCTGTAGACAGCATGGTGCCTGGGGGGGGGGGGGCGTGTGTAGGACCCGTGGTTTGCTTTGCAGAGGAATCCAGGGTAACGGGGAGGGCAAGAGGCTCTGGCACAGCAGGCTGGGGGGCTGAAGCCACTGCCTGAATCCAAAGCCCCTCCCAGCCGGTCCTGCGTCAGCCTCCCAGCTCTCAGCCTGGCCCTGTCCTAAGGGTCAAGTCGGCCACCAGGGGCCAGTTTCCACATGGCATGGAGTGGGCTGGTCAGGGGATGAGGCAAGGTGGGGACCATCCTCTGGGAAGCTTAGTTTTGACCCAGGGCCATAGCCCAGCTCCAACCCCGAGCTCCCCTCACTCCAGGTGGCCATGGGGACCAGGCACTTCTTCCTCTAGCTGCTATAGGGCCCCCCTGGGGCCAGGAAGACAACGACAAGAAGCACTAGCAGGTTAGTAGACTGAGAAGTCCAGGCCGGGACAAGTTTCCTCTGGCTGCGACTTGAGGCCAGGCCCAGCTGGCTCTGAGCTGCTTCCTCACTTGGCCGTCAGACAGGGGCCTGCACCCCGGGGAGTGTGCAGAGCCCTGGGGAATGCTCAAGAGCTGCTTCTCTGAGTCCAGCCCAGGCTGCCAGTCTCTGTGCCCAGACCAGAGCAAACAAGTACCAAGCAGGAGTGTGGGGTAGTCCTCCCAGGGAGGGCACAGGAGACCGGCTGGGACTTGAACAGATGACTGCACTCCCCCCCAGAAGCCAGCAGGGGGTGCCAGCCACACACATACAGGGACCCTGGCCTGGTTCCTTTCTCTGGAGAGCCCATACCCCCTCCCTGTCCCAGGGAACACCTTGTGCCAGCTGGCCCTGGCATCCGGCTCCTGAACTGCCTGCTCTGTCGGCACCCCCAGCTCCAGCATCTGATTCCTAGAGCAATGGCAAAAGGAAGGCTGGGGCAGTGGGCAGCTGTGATCCAGCCCATCCTGCCCACCTCACTGGGGACAGTAGGTGTCAGGGAGGCATGGCTGGGGATCCTGCAAACGACACCAGCCACTGTCCAAACACACGAGGTGGCGGTGAGTGAGTGATGCACTGGGGCTGGCGTCGGGACTCCTGGCCACGGCTGAAAAAAGCCAGTGCCACCTCCACTCAGGAGTACACATGCTGCTGGGCCAGCCCCGGCCACCCCGGCAGGTGCTGCGGTTTCCCGAGCCCATCCCGAAGGTGGGAGTGAGGCTGCAGGGCCAGGCAGCTACAAGCAAGGGACCTGGCCTATAACAGGGCTGTGGGTACCAGAGCTGCGCCAAAGCGGGAGAGCAGTGGACACCCGAGAGGACTAAGGAAAGTGCGTGTCCACGAAGTACTAGTCCTGGAACCCACAGGCCACGCACTCCACGGCAGCCAAAGAGTGGACACGGCCCCATCGTGCCCCAGCAGATGGAAGGTAGCAGAGGCACAGGGGGCTGCCCCAGGCCACGTGGGCAGGAACCCGAGCACAAAGCCACACTCCAGTGCATCCCCAGTACACAGTGGCAGGGATGGACGGACCCAGAGTGGAAAAGCAGTGGTGGCCCGGCGAAGAGGAGGAGGGGTGAGAAGGCATTTTGGGGTGATGGGGGCGTTATACTGTGATGAAGGTACAACTCTGAATTTACCAGAACTCCTGAATTACAGGTTCAGACACAAAGTCATTACCTGCCCCACCAAAAATGGTGTGGAAACCACTGCCCCAAGGGGCCTGTCGAAGCCTTGACCGTCTGTCAGGAGGCCAAAAAATACAAACCACCTCTGCCTGGGCTCACGCCAACTGCCAGCAGGCAGGAAAGGGATGCCCACCTTTAGTTACCTGTTGTACTGCAGGACCCTCAGAGTGCCCCAGGACCCACAAGTGGGCTCCAAGGAGACCTGCCCAGGTGTGGAGCACTGCCCTCCCTGGCACCCCTCATACAGAGAGGGTTGAAGTGCCAAAATCAGGCTCTCCAGGCCCCAGCAAGGCCCAAAGCCCTGTGGACACTCCCTAGGGCCTGGTCTCTGGTCCTCTGGCCCTCTGCAGTGGCCTCAGCAGCTTCAGTGACCGGCCTCCCCCAAGATAGCCCATCCCACCACTTTCTCTGGACCCCCCACTCTGCCCAGCCTCATGGAGTAGGGAGCTTCTGCAGCCGCCCACTGCCCTTGACCTCCAGGCCCTCAGGCCCCAGCACACCCTCACCCCAGGGCCTCAGTTCCTCTTCTCCAAAGTTGGGTGGAAGTGAGGCACAAAGCCACACCAGACCTGCAGGATGCCTTCCAGCCAGAGCCGCCTGCCCTCCCTGCCTGGGTGCTGCCTCCCAGAGGCCTGGGTGTGGGGCTGGAGAGCCCAAAGGCAGCCAGCACACCCCAGAGGCTGGCCCAGGAGCCAGCAAGGAGCCTCACAGTTTGTAGATCCCCAGGCCTCATGCCTGCGGCTGCTGCTCCCTATCAGAAGGAGGATGGGTGGAGGGCAGAGGGGATGAGGGACTGAGGAAGGGACCCAGCTGGACCACTGCGAGGGAGGGGCAGGGCCTGGGTCCACAGCTGCATTCCTGGGTAGGAGGGGTGGCCTACAGGAGCCCGCCTCTGGGGCACCAAGAGCCAGCGAGGCCAGGAGGGCCCAAGGTGGAGGGGAGAGGCCAGGGGTGTGACCTCTCCACACACACTGCCCAGGAGCCTCCACGCCACACAGCAGACCTGCAGACCCCCACTCAGGGGCACCCGCACACATGTGGAGCAGTGTCCCCATGGAGCAGACAGGAAGGTGAGCTGATCAGACATCTGGTGCAGAGGGAAGGTGGGCTGGCTCCCAGGCTGTCTCTGCAGTCACACATGGTGACGGGCACTTGATTCACAGGGAGCAGCCCCAACGGGTGCCCAGACAGGTAGCCAATTCCCATGACCTAACTCCCAGCGGTCATTTCTCCCAGAGCAGGGCAGAGCCCAGTAGGAGCCTAGAAGAGGCCCCTGGAGGACTGTCCAGAATAGAGCCACCACCCTGGGCCCCTCCACGCTCAGGTCCAAGGCTGGGCAGCAACCCCACCCTGCACTCCAGGCCAGCCAGACAGCCTCTCCCACTGCACCCAAGTGACACAGGCTAAAGGGACATGGCTCAGCTGCCAGCTCACGTGGCCTCTAAACATTGTCCCAGCATGTCCAGCAGAGTCACCACATGTGTTTCACCTCTGGCCTCCACACTGGGCCCTTCTGAGGCTGCGTGGGTGGGAGGTCGGGCCCCTTCCTGGGACGGTGGGGCATGAAGAAGGGCACAGCGGGCTGGCTGTCCTCCTCAGCTTTCGCTGACCTGGACAGTGCTAGGCTAAAGTGAGTGTGCATGGCGGGAGGGGGAGACGTGGGACTGACCATGTGCCCTGAGCAGGTCACCTGTGGAACTCAGAAGGAGACTAGAGACAGACCAGGAGCACTTGGGTTCTTTGGGGTGGACACTTACATTCTGCAAGGAGTCCTGGTAGGAGGGTGGCAGGGACGCGAGCTGGGACTCGGAGTGGTAGGGAGAAAAGCCCTTCCGCAGCATGCGCAGCTCTCCAGGGCCCGTCTGCTGCCAAGAGAGGGAGAGAGGTTAGGTGTCAGCCACCAAGGGCCAGCGACACTCGGCTGAGCAGCTCCCCTGGGACAGGGGCTCTCCCCACAGCAGAGGCCTGCTCCACACACCTCCCCAGGGCCCCACCCAGCTGTTCCTGCCCTCGAAGCCACTGCCAAATGGCCTCTGTCTGTCCCCCCAACTCATGCCCACCAAGGAGTAAGAAGATGAATGACCAGCCCTCCCCACCTCGACCCTGTTCCTACACTGCAACATCCTGCACTGGAGTTCCTGCCAGTGTCACAAGCCAGTGTCCCTCACCAGGGCCTAGGGGATAGCCTCTGCACCCTGTGCCTCCCATGGCTCTGTGGCCCCTGGCCGGATGAGCCTCCTCAGGGCTCGGCCCACCTCCATCATCAGACAGGGAGCTCCCAAAAGCAGGCCCTGGGTGCTGTCCAGCTGAACCTACAAGGACCAGTGTGAGGTGGGCCTGCTGCCTGGGCACTGGAGAGGGGGGAGGAAGCCAAAGCAGACAGGCCTTGGGTGGGTCCCCTCAGAAGCCAAGGCCGAGAGTGGAGCTGTGGAAGGGGGCAGGAACCAGGAGCTGAGAGCATCCACAGGTCCCAGGGATACCAGTGGGTGGGAGGCTCAGTCCAGCTGGCCTCCCTCCTGCTCCAGCCCCGCAAAGATACCTTTCCTTCTGCGTCACCAGACCTTGGGGCAGAGTTTCTGACCCAAACACTCTTCTCTACTTCAAAGGAACTAAAAGAAAGCCTCGGCAGATAAGTGCAGCAGAAAGTCCATGAATCGGCCGGCTGCTGAGTCCCCAGGCCACGGAGGAAAGGGGCCTGGCCAGGGCCGGGCGGGGGGCCAGCCGAGCAGCAGCCCTGGCTTGGAGTCTCCCCACTCACCAGCGCCCTCGCCTGACTCACATTCTGCTCACCTCCTGCCAACCAATGGGCCCAGCCCCCATTTCCCACAGGACCCCCTTACCCCCCCAATTCCCTGGATTTTGTTCTCCCACCCCATGGGATCCAGGGTCAGACCTCCCTTCTTCAGGTCCAGGGCCTTGGCAGGGTCCTGCAGGTGCTGGGGATAGGGTGACACTAGAAGGACTGCCAGGCACCTGACCCACCAGCCTGAAGCAAGGGATGTCCAGGGGTCAGTTGGTCTGTTTTCTCAAAGGCCAGGCAGCACCAGGGCTGGATGCTGTTCCCACCACCTCCTCTCATCTCCTTGGGAGGACCTGGGTGTGATCCAAGATCTCAGAGGTGCAGGAGTGAGAAGGGGTCACCTACCCTCATGAGGTAGCCCCCAAAATACGGTGGGCTCCAGAGGGCCCCACCCAGTGGGCATCACCTGCAAAGGCTTGAGCCTACCTGAATCACCCAATGGCACAGTCATGCCCCTGGCTCTGGCCCTGCCTCAATACCCAGAGATATTAAAGGTCCCCAGCCAAGAAGTTTCCCCAAATCTTCCACTTGACTCCGATCAGGTGGAGCCCCACTACCACCAGCACCAAGAAAAGGAGAAGGAGGAACAGCCAGCCTGGGCCCAGCACTCGCCACCCGGCCATGGGTAACCACCGCAGCCCCGAGGTCTTCCCCCAGCTCCACTCGATGGCAAAGCTCTGAGCCAAGTCATCTTCCTGACCAGGACGGTTACAGAAGCGTCCCTCCTGGAAGGTGCGCTGCTTGTCTGCACGGGAACAGCCCGGTGGCAGAAGGCTGTGCGAAGACCTTGTCCTCTGAGGCTACTCTTGCTAAGGCTGACACAGACACGGAGAGGCCCCTTGTAGGGCACCCGGCCCACCCACCACGCACAGTGAAGCCCCTTGGCTACTAAGCCAGGAGGAGCAAACTCAGATCGGAGCCACAGTTCTCCCGCCAGTCTAGGGACCTGGACCCTGGGGCCGGTGGTCCTACCCACACACTGGCTGGAGAACTCTGGGCACAGGCCTCCCTTCCCCACGCTTCTCTGGCCCAGGACCAAATGGGCTCCCAAGCCGACTCATGCAGTTACGGAAAACATGGAACACACCGGGCGGGCGGGGCTGGGGCTCCCTCCCTCCCCAGGCCATCTCCTGGGTGTTATCAGCCTGGGTAAGCATCTATAAACACTTGCACGTCCACAGAACTTTATTAGCAAGCTGGGAAGGCAGGCAGGGGGGACACGCACGCACTCTCATTAAGGGGCAATGTGACTAATGACCCATCAAATGAGTAACCATTACTGCATTTAAATCCAAATTAAAAATGCTGCTATTGGCCATGTGGATCCCTTGGCACCACGAAAGCCCTGGGTTTTCGTGGGGGGGGGGGGCGGGGGGAGTGGGAAGTGGGAAGTGAAATCGCCTTCTCCCAGCCAGCAGGCAGTGTGTGGCCTGGCCCGGGAGCACTTCCTCTCCCAGAAAGGCGTGCCTACCCTGGAGGTGCCTTCCAGGGATCCCTCATGCCCTGAGGAAGACCCTCCCTGGCTGGGGCTGGAACAGGACTTCCAAATCCTTATAACTGCTGCTCCCAGCCCTGCAAACCCTCAGCAGGACCCCTACCACCCAGGCGTAGGCATGCAAGGCCATCAATCCCCGGGGCAGAGCCTGTCACAGGGAGGCTGAACAGAAGGTGGGGAGACAAACAGGCTCCAAACATCCCTGGCCTGTCCACTGGGGCTCCCTTGTAGGGGAGTGGCTGGCCAGCAGGTGTGGGCAGTGTCCCCTGCCTGGGCTCTGCTCAGGGAGAGCTCCTCTTGTCCCCCTTTCCTACCCCAGAGGACTCTCAGCCCTTCAAGCACCCTGTCTGCATCAGCACCTACTGTGTGCCAGGAGTGGCTGGGGGCCAGGGAAGGAGGGCAGACACTGAGACAGTGCCTGGTTCTTTCCCAGCAATACCCAGCAGGCCCAGCCCCAGGCTGATTTGGGTGAGTGACCAGGGCTGGATACCCTCATGGAGCCACCAAGTGACTGTGGACTTAGCCTCAGCCTGCAGGCCCTGGTGGTGGGGACAGTGGGCTTCTCCCAGGATAGGTCACCTGCCGAGCTGCTCCTTCCTTAGAGGCCTCCTGGGCACCCCACAGGGCTCGGGAGGGAAGCCAGGCATGGCCAGGGTCCAGAACCACAGACAGGAGATAGCACCATAACCACATCCTCCTTAGCCCTGAACAGGTCACACCAATGACAGGGTCTGGCATGGAGCATGCTGCAGGCTCAGAGAGAGTCCACCCAGGTGCCAGCAGGCCTGTCCCCAGGCTCTCCCTGTCAGGCTCCATCCTGCCTTGGGCTGCTAGGCGCCTAGGGCCCCCCCCTCAAGGTGTGGCAGGGGAGGCTCAGAGGCCACGGTGGCAGACACTGACACTGGCCAAGATGGCATCTAGGCCCACGTGGACATCCTGGGGTTCCTGGACTGGGGCTGCAGTCAGGAGGCCGGAAGGAGCTCAGGCCCCACTTCCTGCCAATCACACTCTTGCCCGTGGGCCACCTCTGCCTGGTGTAGGGGGCCAGAGGCAATGTGGGAAAGACCTAGGGATAAGATCAGAGCCCAGGGCCCACCTGCCCCACAGGTCCATCAGCATCCCTCCCTGCCCCAGGCCCCAGACATGAAGAGGAGGCCACTGTGTGGGAGTTCCCAGTGGCTGGTGAAGTGTCATTAATGGTTGGTACCAAATACACACCTGGGGCCTCAGCAACCTAAGAACATCACTCTATCCAGGACACACGGGGGGATGGCGCTCCATTGGACTGGCTGTGTCCTCCTAGAGCAGGGGCTGGGCTGCAGAACTCCGGGAGACTATGCCCCCACCTGCCACCCTGGAAGCTCCAGGGGCAGCCAGGGCCACACCCTGCCCTGTGCTCCATGGACCTGATCCAGACCAAAGCTGATGGAATCCAGGTAGTCACCTGTCTCAGGTGGAGTCCCCATGGAGAAGCTTGCTGAAGAATTATGGGTCAAGAGCTGAGCAAAGGGGTGGTCTCCAAAGAGAAATGGCCTCTGCTGACCCTGCAGGACACCCTGGGCAGGAACTGTCCAAGTTGGTCTCACTTGGACCAAGAGAGAGAGGGTCTGGGGATTGTACCCACGTGTCAGTCATCATGGCTGTGAGCGGCTGGCAGGGGGTACCTCAGCACTACCCAAGGACTCTGGCTTCTCACTGCCATGGCTGGGCAGTCCCAAGTCCAGGGCCTGGCACCTAGTCATATTGCTATAGGTCAGTAGTTCTCAACTGGGGGTGGATTCTGCCCCGGGGGCATCTGAGTGCCACAGCTGGGGTGGTGTGTACTGGCATCTAGTGAGTACAAGCCAGGGAGGCTGCTAGACACTTTGCAGTGCCAAGGACAGTCTCATCCCCACATGCCCACAGTGCTAAAGGCAGGGCTAGGTGGTGCATGACCCTGGGGGGGTCACATGATGGGCAGGCGCTCTGGGTGGGCAATCTCAGGACTGGCAGAAGGGGGCAAAGACAAGGCCATTGGAGGCCTGAGGGCTGGCAGGAGAGTAGCCAGTGCCAGAGGCCCATCTCCCTGGGGTTCAGAGCTGGGCACAGTGGGAGCCAGGTTGGCCAACCCCTCCCCAGCTGGAGTCAGAAGCAGCCCAGGGGACCTCCTGCACAGCCGCTGGCCCAGGCCCTGGGAGCTGCACAATCTACACGGACCCCCAACCCAGGAGCCCCGAGACCTCAGCAGCCTGGGCTGCTGCTACCCCACCCGGGAGCCAGGGGGACCCAAGCCTGGCTGCACCACTCACTCATGCTTCCCTGGCCAGCACTCTCCAGCACGCCAGAGTGGGCAGCACCCCCCAGCCCTGGGGGGAGGAAGGGTGGCTGAGGAGGCCCTCAAGGCAGTCGCTGCAGGACTCTGCCCATTGCTTCTCTAGGCTGGGGATGAATGCCGGCTCCCAGAGGGCAGATCCCAAGAAGAACCTACAGGGAGGACCAATGCACCCTGGAAGGCAGTCAGCTCCCAGGAGGGGACAGAGGGTGCTACAGAGGAGGGACTCAGAAGACACAGCACACAGACCAGCCCCTGCCCCCAACACCACTGCAAACCCCCCCCCCCCCCACACACACACACACACATACACAGTGGCTCTACCTGGGGCCTCCTTGGGCGGCCGTAGGGGCGGGGCAGCTGGAAGGAAAGAGAACGGCATCATCATGACCAAAACCTCTGCCAAGCTCCTTCCTCAGCCCCTGGTAGCCCAAAGCCATGGGACCTCGGCTGAGCCACATGGTTCTCCCACACTAAGGGTTAGGGTGGTGGTCTCCACGCCACTCCCAGGAGCTCTGTGTTTTCAGAAACTCCAGATTCAACAAGGAGTAGTTGGTTACCTACTACTTCCTGGGAACTGGGTCCCTAGGAGCACCCACCCCTTCGTGGCCCCTTCCAAAGCTCAAGAACCAGCCAAGCACGGTGGTGCACACCTGTAATCCCTGCAGATTGGGAGGCTGAGGCAGGAGGATCACTAGTTCAAAGCCATCCTCAGCTATGGTGAGGCACTAAGCAACTCAGTGAGACCCTGTCTCTAAATAAAATACAAAATAGGGCTGGGGGTGAGGCTCAGTGGTCGAGTGCCCCTGAGTTCAATCCTTGGTACCAAAAAAAAAAGCCCAAGTACCCAGATACCCTTCCAGGGTAAGCAGCCCTCCTGGGAGGCCTTGGGGCGGTATGCTGCCTAGAGCCACCCCAAGCCCCCAGCTCGCTCAGGCCAGTAGGGGACAAACCCCATATGGCCTCCACTCTGTCCTCAGGATACAAGTGACCTTCAAGGTCCTTCACAAGAGCTATCCAGTAACACCCACTGAATTTTCTTTCTTGCTCCTCCCTCTGCACAGCCAGGGCTGGGTCCCCCATTCCCCATCTGACCTCATACCCCAGATCCCATTTCAAACACTGTGTGAACCACCCAGGACCACATGGTCTGTGACAGGTGGGGCAGCACGCAGACCAGAGTGGCCCCTCCGGCTCCTCCAACAGACTCATTACTTGTTCTAGAGAGGCCAGGGGGACTTGGGAGGAGGTCAGGCTGCAAAATCCAAACCCCACTGGGCTGTGCACGTCCGATCCGCTTGCCAGCTTCCTGGGCCTCTGCTTGCTTGCCCATACACTGAGGTCAAGCAGGGGCTGGCAAGGGTCACTGGATGTTCACAACACCCAGGGGAAGCCACGCTGGGTACCACAATCCTCACCACCAGCCAGCTCCAAGTCCCGGTGACTTCCCAGTTTAAGGGAAGGATGCACGCGGCAGGTGCCACTAGTGGCCATTTTGCAGAGTAGAATACTGAGGCACAGAGTTACAGCCAGTTGCCCAACATCACCCATCTGATAGGTGGCACTCATGAGATACAACAGGCCCTCTGGCTTCAGAGGCCTGGCCCTGGCCCACTGCTGCCCAGCATCTGGCTGTAGTGGATACCCCACTAGGACAGAGAGGTGGAATTTCTAGTTGCTTAACCTGCCCACTTGCTAGACTGACCATTTGCTCAGAGCCTGGGGAGAGGGAAGGGACAGGCCAGACTCTAAGGTCTCCTAAGAAGCACTTAAAGTCCTCCAGAGCCCCAGAGACTACGCTGCCCGGACAGAGAGTACAGGGATGAGTTGGCCAGCCCCAGGTACCAGTGGGCAGAACAGGGCACTCGGAGCTGGTTAACAAGGCAGCACATCACAGGAGATGCCAATGAGGCACACTGCCATCACAGGAACGCGAAGGTCAGCATCTCTGGAGGAACCCAAGGATCAGGACCCGCTCTCCTCAGGGACACAGGGAACACCAGGTGTCAGCCATGGGCTCAGATTGGTAGCAGATTATTCCCTGTCCTGTAGCCTGTTTAAAACTCTGACAAAGGGCAAAGCACAGCAGTTCATTCTGGGATGGGCCAGGCCCAAGCCACTGGCCAAGGGAGCACAGTTAACCGGGTCCTTCAAAGTCCTAGGCTGGCCCTACACAGGGGCGCTGAACTCCAGGGGCTTGGGGGCTGAAGATCACAAGTCAGCTTAGCAAAGTCCAGCCTCAAAGTGGGGGAAATGCAATGAGCCAGGCTGTAGCTCAGTGGTGAGCACTTGCCTGGCATACAGTAGGCCCTGGGATTGACCCACCAGTACCACAAAAAAGGAAAAGAAAAAGAATCCTAGGCCCCCGGAAACAGGGAAAGGTAACCAGGGCAAGCCCCGCCCGGGACACTTCTCAGGGGCCATCATCCCAGGGCTGGGAGACCGAGCCACCAGAGACAAAGGGTGTCCTAAGGCCACCCAGCAGGCAAGCCCAGGGGTGGTTGGAGCTCAGATTCCTCCAGTGCCCAACCCACCCCCTTCTGCCATCTGGCCACCACCCCCACAGCACAAGTTGACTGTGTGCCCCTCAAAATGTGTGTGCTGTAGTCCTGACTCCCAGGACGCCACGATGCAACCTACGTGGACACGGAATCTTACAGAGGTGACCAGGTGAGTGAGGTCATTAGGTGGGTCCTAGCTCCATATGACTGGTGTCCTCCTGAGAAAGAAAAGTAAGGACCCAGACTCAAGGAAGAAAGGCATGGGGACACCTGGGGAGAAGACACCCCAAGGAGAGCCGCCTCAGAGGAACCAGTGCTGCCCACCCTTGATCTTGGACTTGATCTTGGACTTCCAGCCTCCAGAACTGTGAGGTGGTCAGTTTGGGTTGTCTGAGAGCCCCGGTGGGTGGCACTCGGTCCTGCCAGCCCAAGCCAACACACGCTGCTTCCTGCCAGGAGTTCCCCGCCCAGGCCTCGGTTTCCCCACCAGGACCTCCTGTAAACCCCAGTTCACTTTCAGCAGCCCTGCAGCACCTGACAGCACGAGGCAGAGCTGGGCACGGGGACAAGGAGGAAAGACAGGCTGGGGGCCCTTCACAGTTCCCGGCCTGGGTCACAGCTTCCTCCCCAAGGCAGTCCCCTGGCCTGCTGTGACAGCACCACAAGCGTCCTGGGCTCTTTTGTAAAACTGGCTTCCCAGAGCACATTAAGGCTTCATTTACCAGCCAGCAGGGGGATTAACCAGAGGCCCCAGCGTCAATTATAGCTGCCCCCACCCCAGGCCGGCTGGGCACAGAGAATCCACAGGCAGAGTAATAACGTGTGTGGCGTCTCAAGATGAATCATCCCAGAGGAAGCAGCTGTGTTGATGGAATTTTAAAGCCAACAGGAGAAAGAAAATACGAACTGCGATACAATAATTTAGCCTGCGAACACTCCGGCACATTTTTAATTAAAGCTATTTTGGAGTTAAGTAGAGGCCACGGGGGAGGGACAGGGCAGTGGGGGACGGGAATCCGGGGAGGCTGCTGGCCTCCTGCCCAAGCCCCAAGGCCACATCACCTGACCATGTTTCAAAGAATAATATTCCTCACACTTTCTTTTCACCAGGGGGCAGGTTCCCTGCTTTGCTCAGGGACGGGGTTTCGGTTGGATGTCGCTGACAAGAGTTAAACGTCAGAACTGTCAAATCTCACATGCCACAGCCCCTGAGACTGAGGACAGCCTCCCTCTCACGGCCACAGCCTCTTTGTTCAAGATCCCCAGGCGAGGCTTTCTGGCCATCTCGTGATCACCGCCACAGCCGGAGCCTCGCAGCCCGGTGGGCAGCCGTCCCTTGGGTCCTGTTCTGAGCGAGAACCAGTCTCCCCCGGGGGCCAGGACTGGGTGAGAAGCAGCCACGGGCTCCCAGGGTGCTCCATCCAGTTTGGCCGTGCTGAGAGATGGAGACAGATGTGACCACAGAGACCCTGCGGCTCGTCCTCAAGCACCCCAGCAGGGGTGGGGACCAGGATGCACACAGAGGGTCACAAGACAGGACGGCCCAGGGGCCACCAGCAGGCATGAAGGATGTGGCAGGCTTCCTGAGCCAGCCGACCCAGTGGGCCACCTGGCAATGGCACCAGGGTCAGTTCCCAGAGACACTGGGCATCTGGAGCTGGCCACTCACGGGCCAGCAGGTAAGGCAGGGCCGGGGAGGCTAGAGGGCCAGGCAGCTGGACCCAGGCACACGGGGGTGGACCAAGTCTCCCATCACCAGCCCACACCCACCCCAGCTGCAGCAGGGAAGACACCTGTGTCCTCCAAGTTCACAGAAGGACCTGCAAGGTCCACGCCCTCACCAGACACCACACCTCCTCCCTCACCTGCCCTGACCAAGGCTCCACCCGTGTCCCCACACACCTGCTCTGCCTCTACTGTCTGTGGGTGTGGGGCCAGGCCCTGGGCGAGAAGGGTGGACCCCAGCCCAGAGAGGGACACCAGCAGGCGGGACACGGCGAGGCAGGGGGAAGGCCCCTGCAACGCGCGGCCTGTCTGACAGAGGGGCAGCGTGGCCTGTTCTCCCCCCACTCTGCAGTCCAGGGCCTGTGGGACCCACACAGCACAGTGGGAGGGGCAACCCTGGAAGGGACCCAGGTTGCGGCAGATCCCTGACGGGGGCTTCCCAGCAGCGGCCCAGGCAGCAGCGGGTAGGTGGGGGTCACAGAGTGCTGGGGGAGCCCGAGGAAGGTGGGACGGGGTGGCCTGGGGCAGGGCCTCGGTGAGTGGCCACCACCCCTACAGCCCGCCTACCTGTGGCAGGAGCTTGTCACCCTCCAACAGCTTCACCTTGGTCTCCAGCTGCCGGATGTAGGTGGACGAGGCATCTGTGAGGACGGAGGAAGCAGACAGCATGTTAGCCACCAGCAGACTCTCTCCCTCAGCCGCCACCTGGTCCCCCTGACCTGCACCCTGGTACCCGTTCAGGGTGTGCCTGGCTCTCTGACGGGGACTCCCTTGCCCACCTGTCCTGGGGTGACTCGGGGAAGCACCACCTCTCCTACACAGCTCCCATCACTAGGTCAGTCAGGAGCCAGGTGCTGGACACCCTGCAAGACCCTTGAGGGACACTCCCCAGTCATGCAGCCCAGTTTCTGAACTAGGCCAGGAGAGGCCAAGCAGACCCCCCGGTGCAGACGGCTGCAGGAGGGAAATCTGCCTGCCCTCCCCCACTCCCCGCCCCCGCTGTGTGATCGCATCAGAAAAGCAGGGGCCATTACATCCGCCAGTCCACCATCCCCACCCTGGGCCACCCTACAGCCCAGGCCCCTTTCCCCACCAGAATGGGAAGTGGCTCAGCCAGCCCAGGCAGCCCAGGCAGCCCAGGCAGGATGAGGGAGCCTGCCTCGGTGGGGAGGGGACGGGGAGGGACAAGCAGGACACGGTAGTCAAGGGGATGGCTAGACCTGTCCCACGCACCTCTGAGAGCAGGATGGCAGGGTGGCACCTTACAGGTAGCCACAGAGCCACCTGATCATGGACAGATTATCACGCCACTCACCAGAGGTCACAGGGCCCAGGCAGTGGCCAGGACCCATCCACCTCCACAGCTGGTGTCTGCCTTCTGCAGTACCCACCCCTGGCAGGAAGCAGGGTCTTCCCGGTCCGCACCACCAACCCTTGACCTCAGGAGGCACCAGGGAGACCCTCTGACCAAAGGCAGCTGTGGAACCTTGCCTCAGGGGACTCGGGGCTGGGAACAGACCCCACAGGTTCCTGCACTCCCGGTGGATAGAGGGGGCTTGGATGTCACAGGAACATGAAGCGTCTGTCCAGCCCCAGCAGGAGGCCCACAGACCCCAGAGCCCGAGGGGTGGGGTCTTCATGTGTAATAAGAGTGCTGTAGCCTGTCCCCAGAGCCCACCAGCTCTAACAAGGGACTGGTCACTGGCGAGGACGGAAGTCCCTGGGAGTGCTCCCCAGGAAGGCCTGGGCAGCTTCCTGTGTGGCGGTTTGGTCATGACCCCACAAGGTCCTGCCTGGTAAGGTCCTCCAGGAGCCCATGCCCTTGGCCCACACCAACGCTCCCTCCCTGTGCCTTTGATCTGCCTGCTCTGGGTCACTTTGTTCCCCAAGCACAGCTGGAGGGCCATGGGGAGCCCCTGCCCCCTCAGCCAAGGTCCACGGGCCTGGCAGAGCATCTCGTCCTGCCTGAGCAGCATCAGGCCCCCAGGCCCAGCCCCACACACTGTGGCTAGGCCCTCTGTCCCCCTCCACGCCCAGCGGTCACTGCTCAGGCAGGCGCAGGCTCCTGGAGAGGAGGGGGCCCCACCCGCCCGCCCTGGGGGATGATAAGGCAGCTCTAATGAGGAGCCCTGTGGCTCCAGACTCTCGCACCTGCACCAGAGCCCCAGGAGGCAGCCTCTCCCCTCAGTCCCGCCTGGGTGGTCTGGCAGGGATCCTGGCTAGCCTGGTGGCCACCACTATAAAACAGCCTCAGTTGACTTACTGGTCAGTCGGTGCTGAGAGCAGCCTCACACTCCCCCAACAGGCATGAGGGCAGAAGGCTGGGGCCCAGGGGCAAGTGGGGGGAGGCGGGCACACCTGGGCTCCCAGACCTAACGCTATCTGGGCACAGTAGGCCAGGTAACTCCAAAGACCACACTGAACTAAGGCAAGCCCCAAATGACCACCTGTGGTCCCCTCTGGGGAGGGATTCAGGAAGGGGACAGTCACCGCCCCAGGTCACATGCAGCAGCCCTGCACCCAGAGCTTCCTTAGACCCTCACAAGGGTCAAGCACCCACTGTCCGCATTTTCCATATGAGGAGGCCACAAGGAACAAAGTATCCCTGCTCACAAGGGGATGCGCTCTCTGCCCCTCCCAGCACCCAGGCCCACCCACAGGTCAGAGCTGAGAGTCCCCAGCTGGGGGGAGCAGCTGGAGGACCCTGGAGGAGCGGCCATTTCTGGGCAACCCCTGTCAAGCACTCTGCGGAAGCAAGCCCTGGGGCGCAGCCACAAAACCCCTACCCACCCCATAGGTCAGGGCGCCTAGGCACAGCTCTGAACAGAGGAGATCCAGCCACCTGCATGTGACCACCGGCCCTTGTCTGGAGCACTGCCCTTTACAACCACAGGACCATCCAGAAGGTGGGCGTGCCCCTCCCGTCTCCCTCTGTGGACCTCTGTGGAGTGAGCAAGGAGCTCCCAGGGTTTCCCTTCTGGGCCAGACCACATTTGGAGTCATGGATTGGGACTGAGTCCCATCCAGCCTCGGCACCTCTGCTGGGTGGCCCTGCCCCTGTCTGAACCAACAGGGGTCTGAGACCAACCTCCTCAGCCAGCAGTAAGGAGGACAGAGCAGGGACAGGCTGCTCACAAGTCACCCAACAATGCCCCACCACCCACGGCCAGCACTGAGCCTTGGGAGCCACAGGCACGACCCAGCAGGTCACCTGTTGTCACTACCAGGCCCACATGAACATGGACCAGAGCCCAGCCCCAGAAAGCCCTAGAGGCTGCACAGAACAAAATAAAAATCAGAGCACAGGGGTTTTGGGGCTTTTCCTTTTTAATTTCAAAAGAACAACACAATAGTCTTGAAAATACTTCTGACCATCCACTAATTCCAATGGAATCTATCACAAAGAATTAATTCTAATTATCAAGACTGCTGACAGATCTATAGTGGCCAAAACTGGAAATAGCTGAGCGGTGGCACCCTCTCCCCATCACGTGCTGAGGGTTAGGAGGAGTTTCTCTCCGAACAATGTGGGAACACTTAAAATGCCACTCAAAATTATCTGCATTATAGCTGCTGCATTTAAAAATATCTATGCACTGGGGGACCAGGCACGGTGGCCACGCCTGTCATTCAGCGACTCAGGAGGCTGAGGCAGGAGGATCACAAGTTCAAGACCAGCCTGGGCAACTAAGAAGACCCTGTCTCAAAATAAGAGGCCTGGGGGCAGGGGGGCAGGGAGGCAGGCAGCTCAGGGGAAAACGCCCCTGGGTTCAGCCCCTGGCACTCCAAGAAACAAATCCACACACTGATACAAATTCAGGAAAGAAGTGCATCGATCACTACCAGGAGTGTTGCTGAGATGAGGAACAGTGCTTTTAAAGTAAAATAAAATAATTTTAAAATAATTTCTTTAAAATAATTTAAAATAATTTCTTGTCAATTTTCAAATAATCTACAGCAGGAAGAAATCTTTCTTTTATAAACTAAGAGAATGGGTTGCATCGTGCACCTCCCCATTTCAGGGTCCCCACTGGGCTCACAGAGGTGCAGCTGATCAGGGGTGGGGGACTCCAGCCTGACCCTGGCCCCACCAGGTCCCAGGGGACAACCAGGCTCTCCACACTGCCAGGGGCTAGGTAGCCAGGTGACGGTCCCCCTTGGGTCAGGAGCAGAGGAAGAACAGGAGCAAGGCGACACTCCAGAGCCGGGGCTGGAGGACAGGAGACCATCCTTCCCAGCAGCCCCGACAACTTGTGACATCACCGGGCACCTCCCAGCTCCTTGGAGATGGCGTGTAATTAGATTAATGCCAGGGCCTGCAGTCACGAGGACTGGAGCCACAGGGAGGGAAGCAGCATTTCCGAGAGTGGCCACTTCTAGGCAAAATGAGAAGGTGACCACAGGAGGGACCCTGGGCTGAGCTGGCCAAGGCGTCCCCTTAGAAACACCCCCAACCCCTCCTGGGGTCACTAGGACCAGTCCTCTGGGGTTCCATCCAGATCCAGCCCTCAGCTCACCAGCTTCCTGGGAGTAGAAGACAGCCCTGCCTTGCCCTCCTGGGTGCCCCCTCCCCTGGGTGGACATGCAGGGGATGGGGGCACAGACCTGCAGGGTCTGCCACAGGCTCTGATCTAGCTCCAGCCAAGGAGCCTGTGCAGGGACCCGCCGGTGACCATGAGGCCACCCTGCCTTCCAGGAAACTGTAGGCAGAGGGGCTGGCTCACACAGCCCCTCCTGGCCTGGCTTCCTCCCTGGCACCATGATGTCACCCCCAGCCTCCTCTCCAGGCCTTGCTGTGTCCAGGTGACAGGAATTAAGGGCCAGGAGCCACATCTGATCACTCCATAACCCCCCACCCCTGATCAGCTGCACATTAGTGGGTTCACAGGAAAAAGCCGGAAACAGGAACACATCCATGCCTTGCAGGATATCCCCAGGCGGCCTCCTGGCTCTAGAGGCCATAAGCCCCCATGGCCAGCAGCAGTGGCTGCCACGAGCTCTTCGAGAGCAGTGGACACAGCACACCACACGAGAGGAGGGTGCGGGGAGGTCAGGAGCCGCAGAGGCCGCACACAGAAGGCCGAGCTCAGGTCCGCCATCTGACTTCAGCATGTCACGCTGTGATCTCAGTGACCTCCCAAGGGCTGGGTGCCTCTGAGGCGGCCCATGAAATAAGGAAACCATGGGTCATTTGGGAGGTGACCACAGGGATCCCAGGTAGGAGGTGGAGACTGGAGGCAGGGAAGGGAGGAAGCCAGCAGGAGGGGCACTGGCCTGCGGGGGCTGGGGGCTCAGCACCAGCCTGTCTGCCCAGGGGCTCGCGGGCCAGCACAGCCCACCTGGGCCCACCTGGACACGAAAGCTCCCGGGCAGGCTTCAGGGACAGGTGAGGTGGAGGTGAGCTCAGATGGTGACTGCCTCAGGGCGTTGGGGACATGCCAGCAGAGTTGCCGGCTGGGACAAAGTGTGAGTTACCCTCCTCCAGGAGGAAGCAAAGTTGGACTCCACAAGGCCCCTCCCTGGGTCCCCACAGCTCAGCCTCCCTCCCAGCCACACCTCTCTGAGCAAGGTCCTAGTTATGGCTTCCTTTGTCACTTTCTGGAAGGTCTGGGGACAACTGGCTTTGTGGCAGATCATTAGC